AGTTTCGTTGTTTGTCCAAGAGAGACAGTCTGTGAGGGAGAGTGAGTCAGAGATGGCTGTGAACTGGCACCTTGACAGGAAAAAAAAGGCAGGGAAAAGCAAAATCATGAGCTTGGTTCTATTTCTGTGTTCTGAAATATCACAAAATATTGTGGTTCTGTAACAGAAGCACAATATGGCTTTCTTTCTTGTTCCCCACCCCTTACCTGTGCAATAACTGAGGAGTATGACGAGAAATACGGCCCTGGGACTCATGGTGAAAGGCAAAAGGAGTCCAAATTTGTGGAGCCCTCTCCTTTCTTTCTTAAATCCCCCAGGATCTGACCAATGGTTCATTATGCAAATTTGTCCTTGACCTGGCTGAAAATAAAACCCCTCCTCTGTAGGGATGATCCTGTGTCACCCAGCCAATGACTAATGAATGTATTTGCATAAAGAAAACTTTTTTTAAAAAAAGAGAGAAAAGAGAAGGTCCCTTGCTTTGTCCAGGATAAAAACGAGTCCATAGTGGCATAATTTGCAGTGATAAAGATTAAGAAGGGTAACCAGGAGTAGTATGATGGGTACAGATGAATTTGCAAAGGAGAAATAGGAGGGGATGGGGTAAAACCAGCCTTTTCCAATCCTATATCCAAGGCTCTTTCTTTCTTTCTTTCTTTCTTTCTTTCTTTCTTTCTTTCTTTCTTTCTTTCTTTCTTTCTTTCTTTCTTTCTTTCAAAAAAGAGGTGCCGGAACTCTCAAGAGGGAAGTGAAGTTTTCAACCTGTATACTGAAAACTCATGAACTTTTAAACATTTTTAAAACAATTTTGTTGAAGAGGATCTGGAACTCCATTCCGGTGCATTCCCCCTTGAAAAAAAGCTCTGCCCATATCCAAAAAGTTGAAAAGGGACAACTGACAAAGAGGAGTAGAATTTTCTCTAGCCACTTTCTCCCGCAGTTCCCCTGCATCCCCCCTCCCACACCATCTCTCTCTCTCTCAAAGCTTGCCAAGGTAAAAATAGTAACATCTAGATTAGTTGGGACATTTTGAGCATGTTTGTGCAAGATGCAGAACAGGGAAAACATTCTAATGTTGCTTGAACCTAATTCCAATGTATGTTTGTTTTTTACAGGGCAGAGTATATGAGAGCACATCACTCCGACCACACTCCAACCCCATGCTGATGTTTGTGAATACTCGTTGCATGAATACAAGGATCAGGATCACACCTTTTTACCTGACTCCAAACCTCCTCATGTAGATTTGCATAAAGCAAGCATCTATACTGTGAACAAAATGATTCTTTTGGGGGGTATTTTTATATGTGCATGTGTGTATGTGAACGAGTGTGTGTGCACCTGAAAGTCATGGTGACCTCTGGTGACTGACCCCTACTGGGGGCCTGGAGGATATTCAGAGAGGTGGCTGAGTAAAGCCTGCCTCTGGTACTCCAAGGAGGTCTCCCATCCAAGTACTTGCCAAAGTTGACCCTGCTTAGCTTCCGAGATCTGATGAGATCAGGCTTGCCTGGGCTATCCAGGTCAGGGCCAGAACAAAATGACTTTTAATTCTTCAAGTTTATTCAAGTTTATTTATACGGTCAAGCGACCAGCCAATATAAAACATTACCTAGAGGAATAATAATGTAAGATACACTATAAATACATAAAATTCAGATGGTTATATAAAAGAACATTAAAACGAATACAGTATATCATTAAAACTATACAACACAATGCTAATTTGTCATCAACTTGCTATCTAAGGTAGACTTTTAATTCTTAAAATTCCAGTTCTAGTTTAAAAATTATTTGGCAAGGAGCTCTGATGTCTGGCTTGCACACAATGAAATTAGACAACTAGCCCTAAAGAAATATTTCTATCTAGTCACATCTTGTGTGTGTTATTTCTGGTCAGTTGGCAATCTGCCATGTTTAGAGAATGAAAAAGGAGCAGAAAATGCAGAGCAAGCAAAACTGGACAGGGGAAATAACACGACTGATCTGAAAGCAGCAGGAAGTGGGGAGAATCAGACTGAGGGGAGGGTGAATGAAATGGAAATAACGGCACAGAGGCAGGCTCAGCTTGGAGAGGTGCACATCTGCCAAAGACTGCAGGGGTTTATTCTTCTGCATCAGTGTACAGGAGAGACTAGAAGACACACTTCCTTTGAACAACTTCCTGTCCAGGTGCAGGCTGGGCCAGGGCTCTGTAATGATGTAATTCTAAGAAATGTATGGATACATGGATGCAAGAATCAGGACTGCATCTTTCTAACTGACTCCAAGCCTCCACATATAAATTTAAATGTTTGCACAAAGCAAGCATCCATATGGTGGAAAAAAAATGACTTTTAATTCTAAAAAATCTGGTTTCAGTTTGGGGGGAAATTGGCAAGGAGCTCTGATGTCTGGCTTGGACATAAAGAGATTAGGCAACTAGCCCAACAGAAATATATATATCACACCTTGTGGGGAGAGGGTCCTGCTCAGTTGACAATCTGCCATGTTTAGGGAATGAAGAAGCTGGATTGAAGGGGGCAGGGCAGAAAACGCAGAACTGGACAGGGGAAATCACAATGTTGGTCTGATACGAGCAACGTGAAGAGTATCAAACTGGGGAAGATTTAATTCAATGGGAATAACAGAAGAAGAGGAGGAGGAGGAGGAGATTGGATTTATACCCCACCCTTCATTTGGAGTCTCAGAGCAGCTTATAAACTCCTTTCCCTTCCTCTCCACACAACAGACACCTTGTGAGGTAGGTGGGGCTGAGAGTGCTCTGAGAGAACTGCTCTTTCAAGGACAGCTCTGACAAAACTATGGGTTGCCCAAGGTCAGCCAGCAGTTGTAAGTGGAGGAGTGGGGAATCAAACCCAGTTCTCCCAGATTAGAGTCTGCGCATTTAACCACTACACCGAACTGGGACAGGTTGGACTTGCAAATGTGCACCTCCTCCAAAGATTGCTGGGGTTTATTCTTCTGCATCAGTGTGTACAAGGGAGTCCATTTCCTTTCAACAACTGCCTGTCCAGGCGAAGTTCATGGCATCCCTAATTTTTATCTGATTTCTTCATCTGTCGCTTCCATAGTCTTCATCTATGGTTTATCTCAGCAGGTATCTCAAGATGCATCCATTTCTCAAGGGAAACAAAAGTGAGAAGGGATTAGGTCTTTTCCCCATCACTAACCTTTCTCATGTCTGATAATTATGTGCGTCTGTTGAGTGGAGTCTCTGCTTCTATCCCTCTCCAGTCTCAGGGACAGGTAGGGTAGAGGAACAAACCTAGGACATTACCTACATTCACTCCTGGTCTCTAAAACCCTTCTGACTCACCACCAGCATGTGCCTTTGCCTCTCTCCCATACAGGGCAGGATACCTACTGAAAGACTTTGTATATACCCTTCTTTCCTGCCTGCCCACCAGTATCAGCAAACAAAACCACTGCCTGGTGAGCACAGCCCCAGAGAATGAAATACGGTTATGGAAATTCAGAATCCATGCTTGCACATTATTAGGAAGCCCTTCCAACATCCCTGTTACACACATGTCTGCTGAGTCATCTCCCCTTAATGCCCCTCTTGCTTCCCCCTCCCTGGGAAACTGGAAGGTTTCTCACAAATGTGTGCAATAACTCCATGGCAATTCAGAGCATTTATTGTATTTGAAAATGGCCATGATTTGACTTAAATCATATTCCTTTTTGACTGCATGTTCTTAGAGCTCCTACGTTTTCAAGTAAGCCTTGTCCATGGTTCTTATGACAGGCACTGATCAAATTAAATTTGAAATGCTTCTAAATTCTTCACTCTGAGGAGAAAGAGTGAAAGTTTTTGTCTCAGTTCCTCATTCGCTTTTACCACTGTGGATCTGGCTACCACCGCTGTTCCATTTAGCACAGAAGTAATCTGCCTCATCTTCAGGCTGGGTACCGGTGATGGTTAAATGGCCAGTGATCCCAGAGACAGAAGCCGTGAATCGATCCGGGATCCCTTCTCCCCTGCTGCAACCCTGACAGTGTACAAAGCGAGGGGCCTGGCCAGGCTTCTGTTGGTACCAATGAATGGCGTAACTTCCACTGTCGGTGGTGCAAGAGAGTTTTCCCGTTTGTCCCAAGGACACAGATTCTGAGGCAGGCTGAGTCCAAGGCTGTGAACTGACACCTTGACAAAAAAAACAAGCGAGCAAAACTTAGAACATTTTCTGTGCCCTCAAAGATTACCAAAGAATACTATGTTTTGATATATACACCAAATAGGTGTTTTTTCCCCCCCTTGGGCTATGAAAAGTTCATCTACCACACCTTTACCTGAGTAGTAACTGAGAACTGTGAGGAGATACAGGGCCCAGGCCATGGTGAGGATGAAAAGGCTTTTCTGTGGCAACAGGAAATCTCTATCCCGCATTCTCTTTTATATCCCCTCTATAGCTAAAGAATGGGTGGGTCATGCAAATTTTATCCCGTCCATTGGCTTTGCTAGAAAGGGCAAACTTCCAATAAGGAGATGCAGCATTCTAGCTAGACCAATGACCAGAAAACAAATTAGCATGAAAGGGAAGTTCTTAGAAGGAAGAGGGAAATTTCTTCATTTGGTACTCACTTCCAAAAAGATGTATCACAATGATAAAAAGCTAAGCAGGAATTGAGTGAAGAATGGCATGTTACCTCAGCAGAGACTTGCTTGTTAATTAACAGTAATGTGTGGCTGAAGGAGTTTGCTGGAGATAATTGATGGTTAGGAGGGAAAATGTTTACCCCTTCTCATACCCAACAACTTGAGAGTATTTGCACAGGAGATTTCATGGGCAGGAAGGGAATGTACCACCAAGAGTTTTCTCCAGCCTACCCTCCTCCAAGTATTTCCCCCCCCACCCCATGTAGTTATTTCTGGTCTCATAACTGGCTGAGGATAAAATATTGAAAGGCTGTGGGGAGGGGGGGAATTGGTGGATTAAAGAAGGGTTAAGAACCTTTTCCCACTCCTCCATTGTTACTCCCCTACAAAAGCCCCCACTGGACCCGTATGTGTATTGCAGCTGAAACAATTTTGGGAATATACATCTTTTGCCAAAGTAACTTGTACTTCTGACCTAAGACAATACATGGCATAACAGAGAAGACAGAGAAGCTTTCTAAAAGTTGATAGAAATCCTTTCAACACATATTTGTTGTTTACAGGGCTGCGAATATGCAATTAAATTATTTCCACCACACCCTACCCCTGTTAAGTGTATATTGATCTAAACCCTCTGGGGATACTGTAGTCTAAGAACAGCCTTCTCCGAAATGGACCTGTAGATCTTCCAGAGTACTGAGGCCATTATCAAAGGTCCTTGTTCATATCTCATTCCTCTGTTTGAGGTAAGGGTATCACTCTAGGACAGAGAGAGATGCAGACAAGCAGAGTGCCTTCTTTGCTGGGACAGCTGCCGGAGAGAATTAAACAACCATCCAATTTTCTAGACACCTGTTTTTCCTTGGGCAGATGCAAACTTGCCTAAGGCTGACTGAATTTGGTCTCTGCACATGGGTGAGCAGGGAGGAAGAGCAGGAAAAAGCACACATTCATACTGAGAAATTCCTGCTTCTCTTCACACTGCTGCTGCAGGTCAATGTTCTCTGTGATGTCATATTGTAAAAAAAAGGGGGTGAGGATGGATCAATCGCTCCTCCTACAGGCAAAAGGGAGAATTTCACACAAAACTGCCTTTTATATGAAGGATCAATCAGAACTCACATCAATGCCAAGTTATGAATATTCATCACAGAAGCCATGACCATGTCATGTGGAAATTCATCTTCATCACATTGCATAGGAATTCTTTGCAAATATTTTAGAGCTTTTTAAAAAAAAATCCTTCTCCATTTTACTTTGATATCTGAGAATTTGTGGTCCAAATTTAGAGATTTAATATTGGTATTTCAAAGCCCAATCTCCACAGAGATGGATGTCAATAGTTGCCATGATCATAATCAGAAATCCAATCAAATAAAAATCCTAACAGAGGATACTCAGATCTGAAGCTGTGTGCATTCAAAGGGAACCACTCCCAAGATCACAGCCCTGCAGATAGCATTGGAAGAATCTATTCAACTGCAAAATTACTTGAGACAGCAGAAAATTAACCTAGAAAACTCATCTTGTCTTGCAGTCACGCAAGAAGCTATTCAAATAGATTCTGCATTCCCTGAAAATGTGCACTGATTAAATTTTTTAAAAATCACAATTGTGTGACTCCTGTAAATAAACAAGAATCCTTGGTGGGAGGGCGGGGTAAAAGTACGAAAAATAAATAAATAAAAATAAAATTTGGTGAATAACATTGTACTTGCTGTTGGGCATAGAAAACCACAGTGGATGCCCTATTGATCAAAGACATTTGTTTGCTGTATAGGACAGAGTGTTTTTTCAGAGGCAGCCCCATTTATGGAACAACCTCTCCAGGGACGTACACTTGGCCTTGCTTTATTAATATTGTAAACCGCCTTGAGCTCCATGGGAAGAGATAAATATTTTAAAGGAATAAAAATGTCAGAAAAGATGGCTACAGAAATTGGAATTATATCATTTTTACTGTACAGTAGATATGATCCTGTTAAATGGAAGGTACTTGACAAGTCCAAAAGAAGATCTAGAAGCCTTCATAAACAAAAGTTTGGTAAGAGTGTCTTTTGAAATAGAAGCAGGTCTGTGAAGAGGAAAGAATTTGAAAGAAGAAAATGGGGGGAGTCACTTCCCCTGTACCCAGGCCCAAAGCCAGGATTTTGTGGCTGGGGGGGGGGGATTTTCTGGTGGGGCTGAAGTTCTCAATGCAGAAAGAAAAACCATTTAGCCAAAAGAAAGCTGTTGCCAGGATAGATCTCTAAACTGCAAGCTGTCAACCGCTTTAGATGACAGTTCTCAGCTGCTGCACTTCTGCCAGCCTAAGCAACAGTTCTGAGAACAAGCTGGCAGGCGTGGGTGATGACTTCTATAGTTAAGAAAGCTAACACTTAGGCAGGAAAACTCTCTTAAAGGAAACCAGTTTCTTGACACAGAGTTAGAAGAGATCCTAGAGGTCACCTACTCCAACCCCCTTGGCTCAGTGTGGAAATTAGTCAACTACAGCACCCCACTCTGCTTAAAGGAGTGAGCACTTTTTTAAAAAATTTAAAATGATTGAGGGGGAAAGCATTTACAGGATACATTATTGTGGGGCTGTGCCTTTAAGAAAGGGGGAGAGCCCCAAAGACCTGCCATAACTACGGACCTACCTGTACCTGTGAGATACACAAAGGTATTGTATTGACCACAACTTGCACCACGATAATACACTATCATCCTCCAGTTGGACACTGCTGTTGGACAAGTGGGCTGGACAACAGTAAAGGAGGCAACCACACCCCCTGCAGATTTCCTGGACACAAGCAGTAGATCATATGCAAAAAGCCCTCGCAAATTAGTCTGCATGCTGCCTCTCAGCCTCTGCCTGACAGCTTTTATGGTGGGAGGGAGTACATCCATTCCTGCAAGCATGTATTTCAGAGGGGGAAAGCTTTATTTTAAATAGGATTTAGAACAGCTTTGCACATTGCGATCAATCCATTCCATTTTCTTCATAACAGTTTTATTAAGGGAGATTACGATATTTACAAACTTGGAATTTGACTATAGATAATTTTTACAGCACTTTTTTGATAGCAAAATTCCAGGAGCAATGAAGTTTACAATAAGACCCCAAGGAAGAATGTGTACCCCATACCCATCCCTATGATCCAGGTATGTATTTCTATGCAGCAGGTTTACAGTGCAGGTGCGTATGCAGCCAAATCCATGGAGACATCAAAATTGCAAAGAGCCTCCAGTAAGGGGGCTTGAATTAAGACTTCTTGAATTCAATCCTTTCCACCTTCACTTCATCTCTAATAAGTTGGTACACATAAGTGACAACTGTGGAGGCTTGGATGTCCATCAGAACGAATGAAGGAGTGATGTTTCTGTAAAGATTTAGAATGAATGTCAGATATTAAACTAGTGCTCAGACTGACAGTTCCAGCTCATCTGTAAGCTTACTGGGAGAAATTGTTTTAGTCTCTCAAACACATCCTCTGGTTGAGTTAAGGAATGTGGAACTCAACAGAAGACTCCTTCAGTTCTGCATTTGGACATGCATCAAGCAGACTGTCAGAGAATGAATCCACAGAATTTACACTGCGTCTTCTGGTTGGGGGCATGCATTTTAGAGGACTGCAAAGATGAAGATATGCAGAATGTCATATTGGGCACATAACACATGAAAACAATATCATGGAAGACTACAGAAGAACTATCACTTATATTTTCCTATAGCAATGAGGTCTAGAAACATGCCCTTCCCCTGTTCCCTTCCCGCAAAGCTGAAAGGGACAATGTTCTCAAAAATCTGTGTCCAGGTGTACTTCCAAGGATATTGGCCTCACCTGTCCAGGGCATTGTAGGCTCCTGTGGCTGATCCGGGGTTGATAAAGAACTTGTTTTCATGTTCAAGAGCCTCAAATTTGTGTGTGTGCCCTGAAATGAGGATGTCCACATTCAGTTGCCTCTGCAGAACTGCCAAGCTGGCCATATCACCCCAAGGGATAACTTGATGGCCGTGGATCAGACCAATTCTAAAATGCCCAACAGTAACAATTTTTTGCTCTGGATAACTCAGGCCCTAGGAAGGAGGGGGAAAGAATACTTGATTATCATTCTAGGCATAACTCTACTAGCTACCAACATAATCCATTCAGCCACTTCTAATTGCTGAATTTATCATTTGCACTGCCAGGCTGCATTATAAGAAATATCTTTGTTTGGGATGCCAAGTTTAGACTCCTGTGCCTATAACAGTTAAATAGGAGAGAAAATTTTGACATGTGCAGCTTTATAGTAAACCAGATATAGTTCTATAGGGAACTTAGCAGGCTTGCAACAGCCTTTCCATATTGACATTATGGAAGCCAACTCACATCCAATTGTGCTGAGCAGAAAGTGTGGAGCTGTCTCCAAGCACAGTCTTTCACAGTGTGGGTCCTTGAGAGATATGCAGACTCCCTCTGGAGTGAGCCATTTCACACATGCAGGCCACCAGGAATGGGGGAGGAGAACATGTTAGCAGTTTATAAACTTATGAATGGTGTGGAGACAAGAGAATTAATTCTCTCTTTCAAAGAATACTAGAATTTAGGGTCGCCCAATGAAATCGAGGGGGAGTAGATTCAAGAGACAAAATGGGCTTCTCTTCAAAGAAACACATAATTAACTTGTGGAACTTCTTGCCACAAGATATAATTAACTTGTGGACCTTCTTGCCACAAGATATAGCATTGGCCAAGAGCCTAGAGAGTTTTAAAGGGCAGCTAGACAAATTC